GTGCATGTTTCAGCCTTCAAGCCTGAAATCAACAAAAGGTTCGTAATCATAATGTTTGGGCTAATTTTCCTCTCAATTTCTTTTCTCATTTATAAATTAATTTGCCCTGATTGATGTTAGATGGGTATTTCGGGTAAAATTTTCTGTCAACATTTTAGAAAAAGCAGCATAAAGACGATGGCACAGTACTAATTGCAGTGTGTCATTATTTTACCTCGGGTTATGGGTTTGTGGGGTAAGGTTTAGTCAAGTAATGATGCCCAGTAAAAAGTTGGAATAGTGAAAGTGAAAAAACAAAAAAATATCTCTGCTTGGCTTTCTTTGGTCTTGTATTGAGTGCGGATTAAGCCTATTATTAAGTACAACTCCCATAACCACAGGTCTTACCACAATTGTCAAAATGCTTACCCCACTTGTACCGTACGGAGTGTGTGAGTCATTTTTCCGGTGCTTATTTTAAAGATATTCAAAGAAATGATTAAAGCGTGAACTCGACTTAGTTCGTTAAACCTGTGTGGTTAAGCTCGTCTGGTAATGAATTGAGCTTACACTTGTTTAAGACTCGTTAAACTTGATGAATATGCTTTTTTGTGCAACTTTATAAATTTATTATGCATCGACTCGTTGAGGTTTGAGATCGGTTAAGATTGTTTATCGGCTCGTTAAATTAACAAGTTGAACTCGATTTAGCTCGATTAGGGATCGAGTCCATACTGAAAAATATTCCTAAAATTATTCCATTTATTAACTTACGAATAATTCATATAAAAAGGAGTGTAAATTAGTAATGATAATTTGATTCTTGTGATATTGAAATAAACATTTCATTTTAAAATTTTGTACTATTAAGTTAGTATTTCATAAATCATTCTCTTACTAGTTGGAAGAATTGGAGATAAATGGAGTTGGGGAAAAACTTGTGGAGTGTCAGGTTTTGGGAAGTTGTGTGGTGGATAAAGCAGACAGTGAAAAAAAGGAATAGTGCATTCATATGAGACATGAGATAGAAGCCAAAAAGCCATAGCTTTAGGTTCTCCTCACCTCAGCTGCAATATGGCAAATAGTAGTAATTGCAATACTAATAATAATAATGTCATGTTCATCGACCCCCACAATTTATCATGAAAAACATTTATTACAACCCACCCCAATTTAAGACGATTCAAAAATAATGATCAAGAAAATGACAGACAACTAAAATTTAAACAGACCAAACATCATTGGAGTAAAGGAAGAAAGTTTACAAGTACTGAAATTAAAATAAAATTCTGTACAGGCACCAAAATAAATGTTTTAAAAGAAAAATAAACATAAGATAACAAAACGACAAAAAAAATGTACTAGTAACAAAATTTTTTCACCCCTGGCGCGCAGAGTAGTACTTCAAGCATTCCTATTTGTACACGCCACCAAATCATAGATTCTCCCGCCCGCGTCTTTTATGAACATTTTTTCAGAAGCACTTGTAGCGTTTCGTAATTTTCATATCCTCCATCATTTCTAATTTGTATTCTGCTTCAATTTATTTAATTTTTTTTTTCAAATTTTCTCCATATTAATTTAAATACTCATCGATCAACAGCTCAATGCCTCATATTTCACTGTAATTGGACGATTAAACCCTGCCTGAGACAGCAAATTACCGACCACCGCAAGGTCCCTACAGAAAACCCCTTGGAAAACTGAAGCTGGTGGAGTTGTGATAGGGGCCTTTTTGTCATTCCCACTCACATTACTATTTTTAGCATTTCTGTTGTCCTCGTCGTTTTTGTCATTCCCGGCCGCCGCCGGCGGCGCCAACGCCAACGCCGGAGTTTCCACTACTCCGGCAACAGCCTTTTTCCTCTGCTTCTCGGCAGTCTCCTCTTCCAAAATTGCAGCCATCAAACTCGTATACCCCTTCTGAATCAACCTATACAGCAACAAAGCAGACATTCTCGCTCGATCCTTGACTGAGTCAATTTCCTTCTCGTCTGCAAACTCACACCTTTCCATGAAGCCCGACGACTTATCGGGCTTGTGCTTCAACATCAACAGCAAATGGGCCCTTTCCAATTCCGATCTCGAGCATCCCCTTCGCAATCCAATCAGCGCGTAATAATCCACATTGCTGGACTCACCTGCCGCAAGTCTCTGCTTCAGTTGCTGGATTTTCGTAGCCAACGAGCATAATCTCCCGGGAATTTCACGGTACTTCACGCTCTGCCTTCTCCAGACAGGCCCTGGAAGCTTCCGGTCACGGAGGATTGAGTTATAGAGGAGTTTGAGGTGTTCGAGGTCGTGAAGGCTGTCGGGATAGCATCGTATGGTCTCGAAAAGGGCAGCTCGAGTTGTGAGAGCGTCTATGGAGGAAGTGTCGAGGGCGAGTGCTTTGTTGCAGTCTGCAATGGCTTCGGCTATGCGGCTGGCGGATCTGTAGGCAGAGGCTCGGTGGACGTAGCACTCGGAGAGGAAGTTCTGAGGGGCTCCACGACGACCGTCGAGGATTTTAGAGAAGTGGCGGATGGCCTCTGAGTGGAGGCCGGCGTCGAGGGCGGCGGTGGCGGCGGTTTTTCGGCGGATGAGGAGCTTGATGTGGCAGAGGAGGTGGGTGATGCTGTCGGACTCGGTCCGTGGAGGGTTTTGGGGGTGGGAGGGGTCGCCGGAGAGGGGGAATCGGTTGAAGGAGAAGATGTCATCGGGGAGGGAGATGCTTTCGCGGCGGAAGGCGGCGGCGGCGAGGCGTTTTCCGGTCTGGAGGAGGACCATCGCTTCCTCCATGAGGCCGAGGTGGCAGCACGCTTGGCCGAGTACGGAGTATCTGTATTGACATTGAGTGAACCCGGGCGAGTTTTAATGAGTTGAAGAGTTTTGTAAATTTTTTATATATTCACCCCATTTTTTTGAGACTCGGGAGGAGCAATGCAGATCGCGCAAAGTTGATTTTAGGTGAGATTTCATTAATTAATGGCAGTGATTTCGCGTGATTTACAAGCTAATGTGTATGTGTGTGTGTTTTTACCTCCATTGACCTTCTTTCTCCACGTTTTTGCAGAGCCCGGCCATGACCTTCTTCCTCAGATCGGAAACGGAAAAGCATCTGAAAGCCGGCTCGGCCTCGCCGAGCGAATCGCCGGTGGAGGACAGAAGCTTGACTTGCTCCCTCGAGAGCTGCATCGACGAGCCGTCGGAAGACCCGGACGACGACGTTTCGTCGGAGACAGTCATTTTCAGGCTGGGGATGTAATCCTGCAGCATATCGGCTACCTCCTTGAACCGCCTGAGATGCAGGAGGCACCGCGCCTTCATCTCAAGCGCCACCTCCATGCGCGGCGCCACCGCGAGCGTCGCCTCCAGAAGCCCCAGCGCCGCCGCAATCTCGCCTTGCTCCTGCGTCGCGATCAGCATTTTAGCTTCCCTCACGTGTCGCTCCACCATCTGAAAAACGTATTTCACCAAATCGGAAAAAATCAATTCAAGCTTTCAGCCGCAAATCGAAAATGCACAGTGAAGAAATTGGGGCTAATTTTTTTTTACCTTTCTATTGGTGAGCCACCAGTGTTTCTTCTCCCCGCCGGAGGGAGACAGGGACGCGGCGGCCATGGTCGGAGACTCTGTGCTCGAGATTAAATATGGATGAAGAACATATCCCCTCCGGCGATGAGAGGAAGGAGATTTTATGGGAGCGAAAATGGAAGATAGAGAGAGAAAGTGAGGTTGTAAATACTGGGAGAGGGGTGGGATAGAGAGAGGGGCTTTAAACAACAAATGCCAGCTTTGACCTGAAGAGAGAGAAAGCTTTTAGTCCTTCTATTTCATCGCTGGCACCACCACATTCGCTGCCTTTCTCTCTCTAGACGCTGGACTGTATTTGTAGAGAGAGGGAGAGGTCTGCTTGTGGTTATTGTACGCGCTGCCTTGCTTGTCATTTTATTTATTATAAAGCCATTTTACTTTTTCATTGATTATTTACATTTTATTTTTACTTTTGAGAGTTTAGGGGTAAAATTGTAACCAAAATGGAAAAAAAAAAAAATAAAGAATTGTGCAAATGTCAAATTTTGTGAAATTGTTGCCATTCTTTATGTAATCTTTTCAAAGTTTAAGAAACTTTATTTATGTAATATTATGGTTTCATATAAATATTAACGGAAAGAACTTTTTACCCTATTCAAGAAATAAAGAATTTGATTTTCTAACATATGTGTAAAGTCAAATTATTATGATAATAGTTTACGATATTTGTTCAATCTGTGTAAACTCAAATTATTACGACAATAGTTTACGATATTTGTTCAATCTTTAATTCAGCCGAACCAATATTTGAAACAATGGTCGCATGCGTGACCTTAATTTGCATCTTTATTAATGATTGCTAATGTTTATGCCTCAATTTTACAAGTATATGTAGCTTTTTATGTTCAAAATTCAAATGTATACATTCATACTGAAACATTATATTTTGAAATATAATTAAAAAAAAATACAATATAAATATGCAGTTTTGTTCATTGTGTATGAAGCATTTTTGTGTATATTTATGCTTATTATTATTAATTTTTTTCTTATCAAAATTACCATAGTTACATTTGAAATGCAACTTCATCGATTTCAATGCTACTCTATGATAATGGCATAACACATTCAATTTTCTCTTAATGCTGCTTGACTTACAATGGTATTGCACTATTGTGTCTCAATTTCTAAATTAAGTCCCTTTGGTTTCAATTCAGTGAAGACTATGAAAATATGTTTGCTAAAAAATCTATATATATATATAATTGCTAGCTAAGCAATAAATTAAATTTTACCTAATAAATAAAACTTAATAAATTTTACCTATGTGGCAAATCATTAATAAAACCTAATAAATAGAACCTAATAAATTTTATTTATGTGGCAATAATACACCCAATCTCATTAATAAGAAAATATTTCATTACATTTTTTAGGTTAATTAAGACAAAAACCATTATATTTTATGTTAATTGATTAATAGTTATATTATTTATTGAATAATATAATAGTTAATATTAAAATTAACAATTATATTTTATACTAAATAATATATGAAAGTTACATAAAATTATATTTTACACTAAAATCAATATTTTTTTATATGATGAAGATGTTGTTTATTAATAAATTAATTTTTTTTATGTCATAGTAAAATTCTTAAAATCACATAAGCAATTGTTATAATAAATGTAATATTTTTCAGCTAATTAATTGGTCATGATCACTCAAAATTATAAAAAATATATATTTATTGCATTTTATGCAATCAATATAGTGATTCGTATACAATCAGATCGTGTGTACAATTTATTTTAACCGATGATCAAATTTTAAAATATAATACTATTATATAATTTATAATTTTAATATTATATACATAAATATAATTTATAATACTATATGTTTGAAATATAATACAATTATATAACTTATAATTTTTATATTATATACATAAATATAACTTATAATATTTAATTTTATTTACATTTGTGCAAATGCACATGGTCGAATATTAATATGAAATAAAAGTAAACTACTTGAAGTGAGACTTTATGCGCGGGAAACTACATGTTATAATAATTCTCTTTCACTTTGCATGAATTTTATGAAAGTCGAGTTAATTAAATGTGATGGCACAACGAACTGTAAGCATGTTATATAAATATCGACAGAAAAATAAATAAATAAATAAAATAAAAAACTATCACCTTAATGCTTAGGTGGTGTTGAGTATATTTGGTTGACTGATATGAATAAAGATACACACGGCAATTTGGTGTGCCATTTGAACATTAATTTTCAACTCTTACAATGCCATGCGCCTGCCTATTTAAAATAGTCATGCTTGCTTCATTCAAAAAAAGCATATAAAATAAAATTGTCGTGCTTGCGTTTTTTTTTTTTTTTNCTTACCTCCAAAAAAAGGGATCTTATGATTGCAAAAACAAAGACAATCAAACAAAATGAGAAAATCAAAGGACTCGAGCCACAAGAAAAGTCTAACTTGATTGATATCAAAGGACTCGACCCATAAGAAAAGTCTAGCTTGAATGATTATTAGTGAAATTAAATGTATAATGTTATGAAATTGAACAATGTTTTTTTACATGAATACATCATACTAAACATTTAAGTTTAGATTCAGTGATGAATCGTATAATTTCATTATGTTTTTATGTAATTTAAACAATGTTTTTAAATGAATATATTGTACTAAACATCTAAATTTAGATTCAGCGATGAATGGTATAATTTCATTATTTTCTTATGTAACTAGTTAACTTCTAACATTTTCTTATTCAAATATTCCTTTGGCATTTTATTTTTTATTTTCTAAACTCATAAACTCTAAAAATTAATCTATTTTTTCTCATTCATGATTTATTACACAATTCAATAACAGGATACAACTATTCACCATCTTTTCTCTTTTAACTCTCACACACAAAAATTGTTACCTCTAATTGTTACTCATCGTTGGTAAATATCATTTTTTTCAATCTTTCATTCAACCTTTAAACTTCATTTTCTTGCTTTTATGCTTCAATGTTTGCACCTCTTTACTTCTCACAAACAAACTCTTGTAGGGTCATTGAGATTATGCCGACGGAAACATATACTAAAAAAAGGCGCCTTCGGTGTCGCTGGATTTTTTTTTTTTAAGTGGAGTGACTAGTGGGCGGTTGATGAGTTGTGGGAGAGAATGTTATTTCTAGATAGTCAGTTATGGAAACGGATTAACTAGTACTCCATAAAATTTGCGATTAGCCAGCTACTATAAAGATAAAATCCTAGCGTATACTGTGGATTTTTTTTGCAAATAATTGCAAATAATTATACAGTGGAT